TTGAATAGTTAGGCCTCATTTGGAAAACCTATAACATCAAAGTGCATCGAGAATTAGAGATATTTATAAACTAGTCTGTAAAATGACAACATACTACATTCAATTCATTTTCTGCTGTGGGATTTTAAAAGTGACGTAAATATGATAGATAAATATTATTATAACGTATATAAATATTAAAAAATATAAATTGTATGTCTCGAAATATAGTATTTGGAATAGCGCAAAATATAGTATTTGTGTCTATCATCCAGTTCAACAAATTATACAAATTCCAATCCCGTTCCCTTTCTTTCGAGAATCAATTGAATTCACTATGTTTTCTTCCTTGTAGAAATAAACCTAGTGCGTTATTTGATGTTGCTAGATAAGTACTTTATGCAAAACTAACACTAACAAGGTGACCTTACGGTCTCGGAAATTCAGTTCGGGATGAGACTTTGCAGGTTAGTAGTATACCTCAAGGGTGTCCACCCAGAAGAATTGTAAAGCGCACTAGCAACAAGATTCCGAGAAAAAAAGGCTCTAAAGTTTTAAGCGCAGCTCATATACCGATCGATTTTACACTAATGCAGCACAGCGAAATGGCTGAGCATGTAGCGAACTCGCTTGCCAAACGGACGATCTAGGTTCAGATTCTACCTTCGGCTAACTTTTTTTTTACATTATTTAAAAGTTGTTACAATTTTTAAAACAAAGTTAATGACCTAAAAATATTATCAATTAAATCATAAATGTCAACTTTTACACCTGGAGCTAATTATTCCGTGAGTTTTCACAAGTCAGCAGCAAAAGTGGCACTTTCACATAACTTTCGACCTATTGTCTTAAGTTCATCGGTTGAAAATAACAAGTAACTGAAAAATTCTTTAAATTTAAAACGAATATTTTTAACCTCTCCATAGTTTAAAATATTTTTAAAAAGTTGAATATTTTCAAATGCATTTCTAATGGAGGTAAATTAAAACTTTAATTTTAATTAAAAATTTTAAGATATTTTAAGCTATAATACTGTATGTATGTATATATATATATACAGTATTTTATCCGTGACGAAGTCAGTTATGAAATGATAGGTTGGGTTTTAAACAATATTGGTCTAGGTTAAAATATTTTTGTGAGATTATACTGTAATTTTTTTCTTTCATTTTTACTTTTTACCTCATTTACATTTTTACTTTTTTTCTTATCAATATTTATGTAAACTATGTAACTGTTAATTTTTAAATTAACAGTTATATAGTTATATATTGTATGAGGTTATATAGTTATATATTGTACGAGGCATCATTGTATATATATATACATACATACATACATACATACAGTGATGCCTCGTACTTCGAATTTATTAATTCATTGCAATAGGCCGTTCGAACTCAATCGATTTTTCCCATTAATTAAAAATAATGGTAATTGAATTAATCCATTTCCAGACACTAAACCAGTGATTATCAACCACTGTGTCGCCGTACTTTAGTGTGCTGACACTGCAAATATCCATACATAAGCGACGTCAGACAAGTTGTGAAATTTAACACATGATTTTTAATGTACGATTGTATTCTTTGTTTAAAAGCTTATTTTAAATTTTTTACTTCACATTTTGTTTGAATAAAATCAAGTTGAAAGGTCTTCAAATAAAAAGCATATCGGGAAAATTATGCTTTAAGAGTTTCGGAAAGGATATAACGCCGTACAAACAGTAAAAATATTCATAATGTGTATGGGAAAGATGCTCCTAAACTTCGAAAGTGTCAAATGTGGTTTTAAAAACTTGCACTCTGGAAATTTTGAAATATAGGATAGAAAACGTACTGTACGTGGCGCTTAACAGATGTCGACAAAGAAAAATTGCAGGAAAAATTGTTAAAAATCGATAAATAATACGCAATATATATAATAAAACACACCAAGAATAAAGTGAAAAAAAGCATTCAAGAGCCCGACTACGGCACACAAGTGTATGTTTATACTTCCAGCACATTTTTACTTTCTCAGCTGTTATATATAATGGAGTGAAAGTACAGCAATCTGTCAAAAATGATTCTCGAAGGTTTTTACATTTTTTTGACTCAGGTGACCTTGAAACGTCGAGAAATGCATATTACCCCCGAATTTTTTTGCATGCATGCATGTATAGTATATATAGTATATAGTATAGTATATATAGTATGTATAGATGTTACGAGTCCCACACACGTTAAGGAAATCCTTTGAGGAATAATTGCGCGCAGGCCTGGCCTTGAGGAATTCCTGTTAGTGTGTGGGGGAAACTATACAGGCCGCTGGAGTAGAAGCGAAAAACCATTTGATTTTCCTGCACAATTTTAGACTGCGCAGGCCAACCGTAACGTGTGTGACGTTGTGACGTTCAGTTGTAAGGCCTCTGAGTAGTGAGAACAATGTCTCGTGAATGTTTGGAAGAATTATTTTCTACAACTTATTAACTTTTATTATTTATTAATTTTTCAGGTTATAAATTATTTTCAGATCAAAAATTTCAATAAAGTTCAATAAATTTTTTTTAATTATTAAATTAATTTCGGATAATAATTTTTACAATTTGTACTAATATCGGATGTCGTTGAGAATTATTAATATATATTTGCTATATTTTTTTTTGTTCTAATATCCGAATAAATTAAAACACGACAATTTAAAATAATATTTTAACAATAAGGCAAAGTAAAATAGGGAAATAGTTTAATTAATATAATAATTATTTAAATTATATTTGCTACTTATTTTTTACATTACTTTTTATATTATTTGTTACTTATACGTTGAGAAATAATTTAATAAATTTTGTAAATTACTATGTTCGATCCAGCCAGTTATATCCGATGGATTTTCGTCTGTAAGATCGATGCTTTTTAACAGAATCTATAGCCCAAGATTTCTCTTGAAAAAAATTAATTTTGTGAACTAGACTTCTATGCACATGATTTTTCCCGCGAGTTTTAATACAATTTATTTCCAATAAACATCCAAGAACAGCTAGTATGTCGTCATCACGTGCATGGCCGGCCGACTGACTGACTGATTTTCTTCCTCGTGTGTGCATAGGAATTCTGAACTTCCTCAAGGTCAAGACCTTGAGGAAGTTCAGAATTTCCTATGCAAAATTTCCAGGCATGCGCGGTTAATCCTCAAAGGATTTCCTTAACGTGTGTGGCCGCCTACGGTGTTGCCCTCTTTAGTGTGAATGTGGGAGCACGATTTTGTTCGCCCTCTTTAAAGCTTAACTCCTGTGTATTTTTGTTGAAAATTTCTGAAATTTTGAGGCCATTAATTTCTGGTGATTAAAAGATGGAAGGGGTGGGCATATAAAGGTGGTGGTGTCATATTTCCAGTAGGATCGGACTTAATGACGATTTTACTCGTTATTAGCATTTACAATTTTTTATAAAACTCATCCCTACCCTCAAAATTAAGCCATTTTATAATAGTTAAAACTATATAAGTTTTTAATAGTAAAATATCGTAATAACTTTTCGGACATTTGGTGGCGACATCTAAGCAACTCGTTGCTGGATTTTTTATCATGCATTCAGTTCGAAATTTGAAGCATTCGAAGTTAGTCGTATGAAGTCGGAAATACCACTATATTTAATAACAGAACATTTCTTTGAACATTGTTTAAAATATTAATATACAGCGCCAAAATTATCATAATTAATTCGCTATGAAAGTCGTGATATCAGGGACATCAAATAATCGCTCTGACGTCAAAAACCTGTAATGGCGGTGTCAAGAATTTTCATTATATACGGTTTTGTTATCGGTATCAATGTAATTTTTAATACACCAATTTTTCGATTTTCAAAAATCATCTAATAAACAAGCCTCACTTCAAAATTTCAGAAATTTCTGATAAAAAGCACAGCAGTTATTAAGCTTCAAAGAGGGTGAAAAAAATCATGTCACACTAAACACATACACTAAAATCCATACATACAAAAAAAACAACTTTTTTGCATTTCTTGACCAATAGCCATACTTTTCCTCTGTTATACATAAAATAACAGAGCTGGGAAAGTAAAAAATACAGTGTTTTGTGACTGAATTTCTCAAACAACTTTATTAACAGTAAAATTGTGTAAGACCAAGACCGATTCATGTTCTGTAATATTCCTTTTCATCAAATGACGTTTTTTTCCCGACTGCTTTCTGGCTATTTATTATTCCAATCGACAGATAAATATAATTTTCACAAATTCTGAATTTTGCGACAGGCAGCTGACCCAAATATAGGAGTATGGCACTTAAATTAACAAATCCATCACTCCATACCATAACATATCATGGCATTTTCCAAGGGCATAGACTTTTCAGATCCTAATAGCTAATGTATTTTATTATTAAGTTTTTGAAATTTCAGAGTTTTTTAGTAATATATCTGATGCCCTCTTTCGCTTTACTTCTCTGTAAGATGTCTGCTCCTCTCAAACAATTCGTGAGCAAGTGAGTGCTTGATTGTGTCAATGAATAATGGAGCAAATGAAAGAGACTAGTGTAACTTTATTATACTTCATAGTACAAATAAAAGCATAGCATGGAAAAACATCTAATGTTAAAAATTTGCAAATAAATAATTTCAATAAAAATTTCAAATTTTAATAAATAAATTTTAATAAAAACTTTAAAAATTTATTTATTGAAATTATATACACTTAAACATTAGGTATATTTTAATAAATTATTTAAACATACTTTTTTACATTGTTACATTAAAATTTATTATAATAAAAATATTTCATGAGTCTTTCAATTTAATAAAAATCAATAAATGTCTAACTTAAATATCATCAAATACTGATTTCATTAAAACAAAAAACAACAAATTATTGTATTGAAATCATAAATTTGAATTATGAACTATTCAGAAAATTAAGATATTCTAACAAACAAAAATTGAAAATACTTATTTTTTAATTCTTCACAACAGGACAAAAATTAATTTTAAAAAGAAGCTCTTAAAAGAGTATTGGACTTACCTGTAATTATTCATAACTTTAGGAGGTTCAGCAACAATTCCAGCATGATACAATAATTCGTTAAAATCATTTTTGTATGATGCTGTAAAATAAAATTTCATTTACAATAGTTTATTTGCTATGATTAATACACAAATATATCACATATATATTAATAATTTATAAATTAAGTTAATCATTATTTGTTTTTTAAACAAAATTATGTCACGTTTTTTATTTCTATGATGTAGAATTCAGATATAAATATTTTAAAATAAATAAAGGATTTATGAAAAGACCAGTAGATGAGCCTGGTGTTGCCTGTGCAAAAAACAAAAACAAAGATTAAGATTATTAGATTATTTCATACTTCTAATCCTTCTATTGTAGTAGTCCGGGACGCCCCCTAGTGGGAGTTCTAGCAGCAACAGTGTCATTCTGTGGTATAAATAATAAACTCCTATTACAAATAAAAATAATAATAAACTGAATTTCTCATGGCGTACCCTACTAAAAAAACACAGCCAAAAATGCAAAAAACCACATCAAATAATAATATACTGAATTTATTGTTAATTTAAATAATAGCTAGGGTCACCCCTAATGGCCATTTTTGGCATACAGTGACAGAAAGAAAAAAAAAAGAATCCGGTTTTTCAGCTTTATATATATAGATATAGCAATTTTAATCCCTTTGTTCTTTTTCAGCAGATCGGAGTTATTTACAAATAAATCCCCATCATTCCAAGTACAATCATAAACAAAAAATAATGAATATAAACAAACTCAAGTAGTTAGAACAGATTAAGAGCAACCATAAATAAATGTAATCAGAGCATGAGCATAACATAAACATTCATTCAAATTTACTAATTTGTTGAAAGTGATTTTTAAGAACCAACCATTTTTGGATAGAATATCTTAAATAAAACAGTATCTGTGTCTAGTTTTTCATTTTTATACTTTTCATTGATTCACTTTTAAACTAAACTTGATGAAATTTTCCAATCTAATAAACATATAAAAAAATTATAATCTCTCATACCAACAATTCGAGATCCTACTGGTAATATCACCCATGGATTATCAATGTATGCCAACTGCTTTCCTGTACATAAACTACCACCATTTTTCTTTCCATCAAATCTAATCCTATAAAGTTTTTCACCTTGACTTCCATTTAATGCATCTAAAATGACAGCTCGACACCAGCTGTGAAGGAATGATAATTTTGAAGCAATAACTTGCATTCCAATGACTAGATCGCTGAAAAGTATAATAAGCTAAATTTAGTTTAATATTTTTTAATTTTTATGTTTTGTATTGTATACATTTTTATATGTTAAATAAAAATAATAGCAATAAACAAACCTTCTCTCTACACGTCCAATTGAAGGAAGATTTGGCCTAGAAATTGCTACTTGACCCAAATGTATTACTTCAGATGATGATTCAATGATATGGCTGTTATTTTCATTAAAAGATCTTGAATTTTGACAGATATTATTCTAAGACAATAAATTCATTTCATTAAAATTCTTCCAGACAGAAAATAAAATTATATACAGAAACATCAATGCTTTTTCAATTTATTATTGTAATATTTCATATTTTAGAACATTCAAACCTAAATACTAATCACGAGTCACTAAAAATTTGATAAATTTTGAAATGTCAAATTATAATCTATATAAAAATACTTAATGCAACTTAAGACTAATACATAATAGTTTATAGTTCATTAAGAAAGATTGTTGGCACTTTTAGAATAAAGTTAAAAACAAAAGTTCTAATGCAAAATCCAAGGTTTGACTAATTATTGCATTGTATTCACATTCTATTTTATTATCACTCTATGCTATCAGTCATAACTACTTTTGATAAGCTTCAATAAAAAAATTGTAGTAGTAAAGTTATGGGTAATAATTAAACTTACACTTACCCGATAATTAATATTTAAAGACTTATCTTGCATAAAATCTAGAAAAAAAAAGTTATTAAAATGAAATCACTTCTAATATATAAAGAAAAGTATAAAATAAACATACAACTTTCTGGTAACGGTGAAAGGATGATACCTTCTGGTAATGATTGATTTTCCTGAGCTTCATCATCACTTATATCTATTATCTCTTTCTTTTGTAAATTTCTGTAAATAAAATTTTTTATAGCTAATAAGTTCATGTTCCAAAATATTAATTTGCTTTGTATTTCTTTTTTTAACTAAAACTTAAATTAATTGAAGGGCATGATAAAAGTTTGGATCAATAAGTCAATGGTATAAATTATTAATATAAATAGTATAAATTATCAATATAATTAATATAATATTTTATTCATACTCATACATCATAACATTTTAATACAAGTTGCTCATTTTAAGTTTGTTATTAATATATATTTTTAAAAACATAATTAATAATGAACTTAAAATGTGCATATGTTAAAATCTTATTATGGCTATTCTAAAATTTACAACACATTCAATTTAATGGACTTTCAGCAAAGTGGACATTCCTTCCCCAATTAGTCTTAAACTGAGGATTTACTGTATTTTTGTTTTACTATATNTTTTTGTAATCTATACACATGTGGTGTATTATATTTTAAATGATTTAACAAAAAAGGTATTGTAATGAATTGGCTGTTGACTTTGTTCAACAGTACATTAATCATATAAAATATGTACCGAAACTCATTTTTCAGTTTAGCAACATCATCTTCAAGTAATTTAAACATGTTTTCTACTTCAATTTTTTTCCCTATAAATTAAAAACAAACAATAAATAAATATTTTTAGTTCAATAATATCAAATTTATTTTAATTATAGAGAAACATTCAAGAGCATTACCTTCCAGAGAATTCCATTTTTCAGAAAGTGATTTAATTTCACATCTTTCTACTTCTAATAAATTCTTTTGTTTAAATATAGAATGAATTATTTCTGTTAAACAAAATCTGTTCTTGCAATTTACTTCTCCTTCACTTAAACGCAATTTTTTTGAAAATGGTTGGAATTCATCTTCGTTTAATATATATTCCATATTTTTATAACGATTACTATTTGTACTAGAATTATCAAAGTTATCATTCATTGGAATATTTACTTGTTCATTAATTTCATGCAGTTCACAAACTGGATTCAATGGTGGCATGTCATCATCTGAATTATATAATCCATCAGATAAATAGCCATTTGAACTTTCTGGTAATATTTCAAGACCTTCATCAGGTGGAGATTGTGGTAATAATACTAGTTGTAAATCATCATGTGCTTCCTGATTTAATTGTTCTGTAAAATGAAAAGGTTTTTTAAAACAGTCAGATTAATATTGAAAATTTTAATTTACATTTCAAAACTAAAATTGCTTCAAAATTTCTATTCTGAACGGTTTTCTTGATATTTCATTCATTAAATCTTTATTAAAAACAATAAAGGTAATTGCTAATTATATGTTTAATGTAACAAAACATGACAATAAAAATCAGAATAACTAAAGTTTAATTACATACTTATTTTGTATCATACACAAAATCTATATTTGAAATTTTTGTTATATAACATTTTAAAATGTAATTTTAACAATGATTTTATTGTCATATTTAAAGGATCCGGTAGAAAGTATCTTACAATAATAATCATAAAAAATATAAGGTTAAGAGAAAAAGTACAAATAAATAAACATGTTATACAGTAATACCCCGACTTACACGAATCTGGAATTACGCAATTTTCAAATCTCGTCGATTCGTCTTTTGTTTGAGCGCCACGCAACTCTTAATTACTCATTTCCCCCCACACTATTGTTCGGCTTACATGTTCGGATGTGTTCGACATATAGCTACAATTTATTTTGTGTTATTTGTATGTATTTATATGCAAAATTATACCCCGACTTACGCAAATTCGACTTATGCGGTTATCGCTCGGTCCCACCTATCGCGTAAGTTCGGGGTATTACTGTATTTATTATATATATATAATGTTTTCTATATTTATGTGTGATTTAGGAGTATATCTCATTCCTGAAAACCTTGAAAATTAGGACAGGCTTTCCCATTATTCCTTACATTCAAAATTTGAACAGACAGCCCAACTATCCTACCCAACATTCTCCAAACAACATTAAAATACTATCAACCAATTATTCTAAATCAAAAGAACTAAATGAAATTGCTGATTAGGTTAATCAACAATAATAAAAAATAAACTAATTTGAAGAAAGAAAAAAAATGTGACATGAACAAAAATGTACATTAGACATTTCTTTATTTAAATGTAAGAAAACAATAGTTAGTTAAGAAAGTAAATAAAATAGAATGAGCAATTATTTATTGTGACATTGTCACAATGCCAGGCTGCAATTTTAATTATATTTTTAATTTATTTAATTAATTTAAAATAAATTCTCTCCATCTCAGATTAGTAGTGACTTGCCCCTGTTCATTATGCTTTACCTTTAACAATAGTCATGCCAGTCATCTATCTAACACCTTTCAGAAGAAAATTTTAAAATAGAAATAACGTAACTTCTGGTTTTCCATCAGAAGTTCATATATAGATAATCAGGCCTCCTGCCCCTAAGATTTCCATATCTATTCTTGTCTTTCATCTATATAACTCTAATCTCAAAATTAAGGAAAGACAGAGACAGACAAACAGAAGGACAATAGTGGAAATTTATAGGTCTACATTTTTTTCAAATTGCAACCCAATAAAATAAAAATGAAAAAGTAATCACTGACAGAGTTTATAATGCATAGATAAAATTTACTAAACTGCACAACTACATTAAAATGAATAGCACACACATAACAAATTAAAACATGGTGTAAATAAAACAAAGAAAATGGAGATTAGAACCTAGGAGCCATCTGGAGTGTGTGGGAATTTCAATCTTGTCACAACTCTTAATTAAATATTTTTATCTCAAATATCAGTCAACACTTGTATCAAATATTTCATGTAATAAATCAAATAGAGATTAAAAAAAAACTCATTTTATCATATTCTTGTATATCAAATACTCATAAAAATAGAATCACACTGTATATTATGCTACAATAGATCTGATTTCATAATCTATTGTAGCACAGTATATATTTATAGTACTTATTGGCTATAATTATTCAGATTTTCTGGAAAATAATATTTTAAATGAAAATCATAGCATAAAAATATTATTACAATTAAAATTTTTAACAAAATATTTTATTTAAATAAGAAGACTGTTTAGATAAAATTGCTATCATAAATATAATTTATATACAATCACTTACTGTATTGTTCAAAAGAAGGCTCTATGTAATTTTCTCTTGGAGGACGACTAGGAACATGAAATATAGTTGGAACTGCATTCCATACCAAATGCTTTTTACTCAGTGGTGTATGAGAAAACATATAGTAAATATAATACTGACTGGCATCAAAATGATCTTCACACAGAGTAAGATTCTTATTGATAAAATCGATGTCATTTTTAAATAAATCCAGCCTATTACAATTAATAGCCCAAAGTGCACATCTGAGAAAAAATTATAAATTATAATTTTAGATAAAATTAAACTCTATACAAACACTAAACACTTTAATAGTCTTTAAATCATTTAATAATATTAATTATGCAATTATAAGATGAAAGATAAAAATGAAAAAAATCCAAAATAAAAAGTTATATAGCTAATCAATATAACAGCCTTAAAACTGATCATTTACAACTTTAAATGGTAATTAATCTGTTAAAGCTCTACATGGTGTGTCATTTTCCAATATCANGTGACTACAATGACACACTGCACATTTTTTATGATTAAAGGGAACAACAATTACTTCAGAAATATCAGGAATAACCATTCCAATATTTTTACATAGTAAGATTCTTATTGATAAAATCAATGTCATTTTTAAATAAATCCAGCCTATTACAATTAATAGCCCAAAGTGCACATCTGAGAAAAAATTATAAATTATAATTTTAGATAAAATTAAACTCTATACAAACACTAAACACTTTAATAGTCTTTAAATCATTTAATAATATTAATTATGCAATTATAAGATGAAAGATAAAAATGAAAAAAATCCAAAATAAAAAGTTATATAGCTAATCAATATAACAGCCTTAAAACTGATCATTTACAACTTTAAATGGTAATTAATCTGTTAAAGCTCTACATGGTGTGTCATTTTCCAATATCATATATGTCACACAGAGAAACAAATTAAGTAAGTTTTAACCAAATGAATTAATTACATTTCACACAAAACAAACATTGAATTAAGATAAATTTGATTTAATAATACTTAAATGAATTTTTTGTTTATACAATCAGAATATTTGTTTTTTAAGAAATCAAACTTATCGTGAAAAGTTTAGTATTATGTGATAATATGCCAGTAAGTAGTTGATAGGTGCATTTATATTTATGAAACAGTTTGTGAAGAATGGATTATTCAATCACTGCTTGAAATTTTTCAATGCCAAAAAGTTGATGTTTTTGTAATCTATACACATGTGGTGTATTATATTTTAAATGATTTAACAAAAAAGGTATTGTAATGAATTGGCTGTTGACTTTGTTCAACAGTACATTCTTGAGCTACTTCGTTAGTTATCCCACTCAAGAAAAGTTCACCCATCATTTAACTCCTTGGTGAAATGGAGAGTTGAACTCTCTGAGATCTTTAACTCTGAAGTTATTTAATTGAGTTAAGAGTACTGATGAGTGGAAAGTCTATCATAAAACTGTCATCCAGTATAAGAAAGCACTTAGAAGGGCAAAAGGATTTTCATAGAGGAACTTCTGCTTGAACATTTCTAATGTTTCTAAAAGTTTCATGAAGATTTTAGAACTGTTCTAAATTGGGTTCCTTGATACTTCCTAGTGGTAAGGCTTCAACCTCTTCTTAAGAAACTATTCTCTTTTTACTTCAGGCTTATTTCCCAAGTCAGAAATTAATAATTCAAGCCTTTATTTAAGTTTTTAAGGCTCTCATCCAGATCCCAAATACAAAATCCTAGATATTAGCTAGATTGGTGGTTTTCACTGCTAAGATCAAATGGGCCAATAAATCATTTGATCCATTTAAGTCAGCTGCAACTGATGGTACACTCCAGCTCACCTACAATATGGAGCTGATATTTTAGCTCCCATTTTTCTGTCATATTTATCATGCCTGTATGGTATTAAGATATAAATGTGATCTGCCTAGCAGAGTGTTACCACCCATCTGGTTTTCATCTGGACAGTCCGGGGATTGACTCACTGTCCGGGTGAACTATTAATTTTGTTGGAGAATTTCGTAGAAATTGTGAAATTACGATGAAACAAAGTTCTTGCAAATATTTTTACAAATTTACACTATTTTAACAGCGAAAGAACTCACACTCACTGAAACTCATCTGCAATTCTGCCATGTTAGTCTGTTTACGCCGACGTGTGGCATGCAACCTGTTAACTTTTTTTTTTTGCATGTACGATCATACACGTCTCTAATATCCAATAGAGATAAGTCATCTGTACCTGTTCTTTCTTAATTTACGTTACTTACGTTACTCCCACGCAAGTCCCTAGTCCCTAACTGTAACTGATTTAGAACCGGCATGCATGTTATTCTTCGCATTGTAAAAGGACATTGCCCATACGTCAGGAACTTTTGTTCGAACAAACCTGACCTGCCATCTGGATCAGCAATTCTGAAAAGGTGGCAACACTAGCCTAGTAGCTGGTTAATGTGATTTTCATTCCTAAGCCTTGCAAGAAATCTTATTCTGAAACCACAACTTTTAGATTTATTAGACTAATATCGTTTATGTTAAAAGACATCGGAGAAGCTTATTGATAAGCATATTAATAAGTAATCTGAGGACATTTGTTTGAGTTGGTTCCATTCCTTCACTTTGCTTATTAACTGTGATTGATTTTGGTCAGTTTCATAAACATCTGTGTTAAGTGAAATTTTGCTTCTCAGCTTTTTGCCACATTTGCAGATTGCTGAGGAAACTTCTCTGCATCTCATTTGGGAGTATGAAATTATTTGCTCAGGTATACTTGTTTATCTGGGTTTTTCTTTTTTGAGTCCTGGTGACATTCCTCTGCTTTCCTTCAGAGATCTACTGTTTTTTTATTTTAAGAAATTACCTATACCTTTGTAATTTATTGTGGGGCTTAAAATGGATCTTTTAGGTCAAGGTGCATTTGACCTTCTGACCCCTCATACACAACAAACAATAAATTATATTCCTATAAATTTTAATCCAAGGAATGTTTATTTATAGATGTAACATGTTAATAACAATCAAATTAATTCTTTGTATTATTTAGAAAAATCAGATGATATTTAATGTTGAATTTCTTTTGCCAATTTGAAACTGTGTTGTCATACGTTTTTGTCGATTAAGCACTATAAAGTGCAATTAATCAAACACTAGTCATCGTTTCATCCTTTTGTTTATTTAGTTAATGTGCGTTGTTTACACATTTTGGGCCTTATGTGGATGCCTAGTGTTCATTGAATTTCTTAATAATGCACTATTTCATATTTGACGTAGTTTTTCATATTCTGTACATTATTTGTATTAATCTAGAAATTGAATTTTTGAATAGAATGGTATTTCACTTATTCCAAAAAGTTTCCCCCTTTCTTTAATTTTTCATTTTGATAAAATTGAAATAAATGTAAATTTTGATTCCTTGAAATGAGTGATATTTTGTCTATTGCGTAAACTGCTGTGGAGAGATGCACACTATTCGGCGATACATGTTACATGACTTTCCATGTGGGACTTTAACAGATAAGTACCAGTTAAATTATTCAAAACATACCTTCTTGGATCTTTTGGAAATGGAAAGAAATATAATTCAGGATTTCTATCTTGGCTGTGACTACAATGACACACTGCACATTTTTTATGATTAAAGGGAACAACAATTACTTCAGAAATATCAGGAATAACCATTCCAATATTTTTACATAACATTTCTAGAGTTCTAGTTTTGGTTACTAAAATGGAAAAAATAAATTATTAATTATTAATCTACATTATATGAAAATTATATATATATATATATATTTATTTATTTATTTAATAACCTACATTTTGGTAATATTGGAACATAAGAAGTAAGCCTGTTTGATCTTCTAATATTATCTTTAGTACTTGATTGATATTCTGATTTTGAACAACCATTTACATCTTTAATATCTTTAAAAACCTTCTTCACTGGTGAAGATTGTTTACCCATTGTCATTCTGATATTAATACCAGCTTCAGTTAAACTGAAAACAAAAAGAGAATGTAGTTATTTTTTTACTCCTTTAAAAAATAACCAAAATTAAATTTTAATTTTGTTCCATTATTCTATTTATTGATACAACACAGCAGAGCAGTATAAATAAAAATTTTTGCAAAAAGTTTACAGCTATCTTATTTTAAATACAGTCATATCTTTAATGTCTGTATATATATTAAGTATTATTAATCAGATATTTTATTGTTTAACTTAAAATATGACAGAAATTAAGAAAAGCTTTTACTTATTAAATTACACTTGAGTGTTGTGGTGTTACCGATAGCAACTTTTAGAGTATGGCCTTTAAGACCTTTAGTCAACAAACGCTCCCACCCCACATACTACTTAGAATTTGCACTAGAAAAAAATTACTGCTTTAATTCCACCTTCTGACTTTGTGACCACAGCCTCTACTTATTAAATTGTCTTGTAAATAAAAATAATTTAATATTTTTGTTGAAAAATATATGTTATATGATTTCTAATTGATTATTCTTATTTTTATCTTGCATTTTATTTCTAGAAGAAACTAAAACCTAATATAATTTATAATTCTTCATTTTTAATAAAAACTGGAGTAACTTGATATTTTAGTCATAAGAATTAGACCCTTAGAAGACCCTTAGAATAAAGAAAGTAAGATTAATTTTTGTGAATTTAACATTACATTGAGATATAGCAATATACAGTGACTTATAAAAACCATTGCAATTATTCCATAAACAATCTCAATACATATAGATTTCTCTTTCTCTCTAATAATGCAATTTTCCAAAATATGAAAAAAATGTTAACTTTTCCAAATTCCAAATTGTAAAATCTAATAAAATGATTAAGATGTCAAGATATCAGTAATGAAATGAAAAGCTAATTCAAGCAAACAATCATTGATTTTAATTAATTAACAGAATAAAATATTTTTATGGTAAATAATTTAAATATAAAAGTTTTCAGAATCTTTGAGAAAATTTATTTTATATTAGTAAATGCCTGNCAAACAATCTTTCAAATTATTAAAAATTCAAAAAAGTCTGTAAAGAAACTGAATTGACACTTTTTCAATATACATACATTTTTCACAGCAACAGGGGATATTGCACATTTTGTCATAATAAAGTCTTGCCAGAAGTTGATTGTACAAAATACAATAATAGCTGAATAGTATTTTGAAAAGTTGGATTTGGCACCTTTTGAAAATCAGCTCCTCAATTCTTATAGTAAATGTACTCTTTTTAACTACTTTCTCAATTTCTGAATATGATTTGTTAAAACTATGTAAATTTGTAATGATTTTTTTTCTTCCACTGTTGTTTAAGTGTCTCTGCTATTTATTTTGGTGATAACAGAAAGTAGATTGAAATAACAATAATTTTCACAACTGGTAAGGTTAAAAAAAAACAGATTTCATATATCTACCATACTGGGCATAAATAAAATGTAAATGAAATTGATTTGCATAAATATCATCACTGTGTGAATACCTTTGTCCATTCAAATCATATCTATACAAATACTTTCTAAGTTTACAAAGGTTAAAAGTATGTAAATAATATTTTTATTTATCATATTATTATGTGATGAGTTCATTGGGTTATAATTTTTTTTACTATTAAATTTATACATTATAATTAAGAATTGGNTATATTAGTAAATGCCTGCCTAAGCTCAATTCAAATATGAGATCATATGAAGTAAACAGACTCAAATAAGTTTCACAAACCTTTTTACACATTTTCTAGCAGTTTCTTGAGAGAACAAACGTTTTTGGCCATGTTTTATAGCCTTCTTCAGGTTCTATAGCATTGTCAGTTAACAAAAATTCAAAAGATGTTATTGTTTACAACAAGTTTCCTATTTCCTATGATGTCATTGTTTTAAATGGGAGATTATTAAAAGACAGACAAAATTGAAAAAATTAACAAAATAGATGTGTAAATGGATAACAGAAGATAGATAACAGTTCTAGCTTTCCGTGCATGGAATTGAACAGACTCAAAACTTAGCATATGAGAAAATCCAAGTTTAGAGTAAAAATTTAAGCCAACTTTTAATTATAAATATAATCAATACATATTATACAATCTTTTGCACTTTAATAGTTATTTTTGTGAAATTAAGATAGAATAACTGACATATTAAATATTTTTCATTTTTAGCTTTCTGCCCTATGAGCACTAAGAGAGCATTTTTTTATACTCATTTTGAGTTCAGTTAGGCCCATTATGGGGCAACTGGTAATGAGGGTAAATATCCCAGACAGACTGCCCATAAAAAATTCCAATGGTTTTTCAACTGTTTGGATTTGATCAGGTCCACAGAGCTATAAGATGATGCCTTAACCATCTTGGACATCCAGCTTAACATACTAGAATTCTGAGAATGATAGTTTAATACTTTGTAGATATTTAAGTAAATAATCCTTACTTCTAGAAAAAAAAAAGCTATTATTTTAAAATTTATAAAATTTTCTTTGCAATATACAATACAATAATATATCAACAGATCAATAAAGTAATTGCTTATTCAGTAATTCAATTTCTAAATTATAAGTTGCTGGTAATCAATGGCAGATCAATCATTAGGCTGAGCAGGCTTAACCCTAGGAAGACTGAAAGCAAAAGAAAAAAAAATCAAGTGAATATACAAAAAATGGTTGAAGGTATATGAGAATATTTTGGATATTTCAGTACTTTGCACACAAGAGATGATAAAACCTTTGCTATCTGGTCCTCATTCCCATCAAATCAGATAGGCTTCCCTTTATTGATTTTCATTCATTCTCTTTTCATTTTTAAATGTAAATGAAAAAATAATAAAAGGTTTTTTAAAACACAAATACAGTGGTACCTCAGGATACGAACGCCCCAGCATACAAAATTTTCAGGATACTACATGAAATTCGAACATAATTTTGCTACGAACAAAAACTCACCATACGATGTTACATTAGTTCGCAGAGCCATTTTTTATTCACTTCTGTTCATTTGTCTCAGTCCGCGTGTTTGCTTTGTCGTGGAAGGATCTTGCTCGATAAAGGAAATCATGAGGTATTATCAGAAAGTGAAAGTGACTGATTTTATTGAAAAGAAACATCCCGAAAAGTTTCACACTGGCCGTATTGCTGCTCGGAATAATGACATTTACCTAAGTCATTTTAGAAACATTTTAAAAGTAGGCAAAGCCAAACCACTTTGGATAGATATTTTACCAAGTGACCTCTATCCAGTGAAAGTGCTGGTGGAAGTGAAGGAAAGAAAGCAAAAAAGCAGTGAATAAAAAAATTTTAAAAAAATATGAAACAGAAAAGATTAACAAATTAGTGTTAAGTTATTTTTAAGTTATTGTTACATTATGTTATGTAAGTTAAGTTTTAGTATCATTTCCCTTCTCCCTCTCCTCCACCACCAGTTTACACCTCCACTGTTGTCTATCCTCAAAAGGTAAAGTGCAAATAAAACTACATTTTTTTTATCAATTATTATTCTATTATAGTTATTTATACATTTACAACTACAAAACACATTTTTCAGTGTTTTCCTTACTATAGTTATTTTTTTTTAATGTAGGCCAGTATTTCTCAACCTCTAACAAATCATTGCCCCCTTCAACGTTGTATCGCCCCCTTCAATAAAACCGTTACATAGTATCGCCCCTTCACTACAAAATTTGAATGCTGAGGGACAAGGCTAACACCTAATTCATACTGCATTGAATAGACTAGTGACTAGTATAATGTTATTTGTTTAATTATTGTATGATATAACGAATAAAATATCTAATTATTCTTAATATAATGCTTTAATACAGGGGTGTCCAACCTTTATGTTTCTCTGGGCCGCATTGGAAGAAGTCAAGGAGTTTTGGGCCACAAGTATATATATAATATATACTTGTGGCCGAATATACAAGTATATTTAAGGATTAACATGTCTAGATTATAATAATAAGTATTAAAACTTTATCACAAAACAGGATATTTTAAAAAATTACTTTTACAGACACTATCAATTTTTACTTACAAATAGATAAATTCATTTATTTGATAAAACGCAAATATTTGGTTTATTTGAGTCTCTGATTAATAAAAAGCGACGAAACACCATTTTAAAGTGCATTTTTATTCAACTAATATATTTATAAATGATATGTAGCCCCAAAAGTAGCCAAAGCGCCAAATGATATTTTTTTACGTTAAACTAAAAAAGTAGCCACATTTGGCGCAATGTAGCCAAATCTTGCAACGCTGGAAGGAATACTAAATAAAGCTGGAGTTTTGACTCAAAGGATTATAGAGCCAAATTCGGAAAAAGAAGAGAAAGGACAAAAGATAAAGAAGTGAGAAAGGTTGGAAAATTAAGACTCAATATTTGCCTAACAGAAGAACTATTTAACCTTTCTGACAACTTTTTATCTTTTGTCCTTTCTCTCCTTTCACCAAATTTGGGTCTATAATCCTTTGAGTCACAACTCCAGCTTTATTTAGTAATCCTTCCTCATTCACACATCTCCAAGTACATGAAAATATTTCATTTCCACTCAAAACTGAAATATAAATAAAGGTTTATGGCTTTGTGAAACGTCTTTTCTGAGTTTATGCCGTTGAAATAAATAAATAATAATAAAATTAAAACATTTGTCGGTTTTGTTTAAACCTTTATTGGGCCGCATTGGAACTTGCCTTGGGCCGCATGCGGCCCGCGGGCTGGACACCCCTGCTTTAATATATCGCCCAAAAACTGTTTTTCGCCCCCCAAAATATAAATTGTTACTAATCGCCCCCTCAACATGGAAAAACACCCACATGGGGGAGATATCGCCCCCGTTGAGAAACACTGATGTAGGCCTACTACTTAGCTTTAATTTGAGTGTGTTTTTCATGTTGGAACGAATTATTTTTATTTTTTACATGTAATCGTATGGGGGAAAAATGATTCTCCTTACAACATTTTCATGATATGACCTCAGTTTCGGAACAGATTAATTTTG